GAAGTGTGTTGAGGCAACAGAGTATGAAACTAAATCGTGTGTGTGGGCTTTGTGGTTTCAGGGGCTTGGCGCTAAATCTTTGAACAGCTTTTTTAACTAGCAGTGTTCTTCAAAGAACTATATACTCTTTAGCTTTGTGTTTATCCAATGCGTAATTTCCTGTCTCTATTAGTCACCTCTACATGCACACAAGATGCATGAGCTGGTCTACAGTTGAATGAGCTTCCTGTGCTAAGCTAACTAACTGTTTCTGCTCTGAACTTATATGTGACAAATAGCTGCAGATATTTAACTGGGGTTTCTTATGTGTCAGTCATTAGACACATGTGTGAAACAGCCTCCAAAATGATGTGAATAAAACTACCATTAGTTTGCTTATCTCTAGGTAATATATTGTCAGGTTTGCCCAGCTACACCTTCCTCTCTTCTTTTTCCTCACACTAGCCTAGCCCTTGCACTGGTTGTGTTTTTTCTCTGAATTCCTTGTTAGCCCCCTAGGCGTTATCCTGCCCCTCTAGTGTCTTCTTCCTCTTCGAACCTCTCCTCTGGACCCCCCTGGATTTAATCTACACCACCAGCCACCGCCTCACAGGTCGATGCACAGTCTCCCTTACCCAGTTTATCCCTGCTCTTCTGTCTACAGCCATCATCACCTCCACCTCGACCAGCCCAGGAGTGACCTCTGCGTCCGCAGCCCGGTACATCATCATCCACCATACCACTGACTGTTTTTCTGCTGCTGCTGATCGACACCCGGTCATCTACCTCATTACTCCTCCTGTATATATGTCACTACCTTCACTGTAAATAAACCTCACTGCTTGCACCGAAGCCAGCCACCTGGGTCCGCTTTTTATCTGCTCGCTCACTCTGTGTTCGAGCGCACCCTAACATATATGGGCAGTGTGCTTCAAACAAAGTGCAAGTCAGATTGTTAAAAAGTGTCCAAAAGCCCCTCTACTGACACATATCCAATGTCAGAATTTGGGTGGGGTCAGGTATTAACTTTTCACCTGAGTTCTTATTCTTACACAACTTCTTTCTGTCCATTTTTATGCATATAAAGGTAGAAGAACAAGTGGCCTACCGACGTTTGAGTCGGTCACTGCTCAGAGAAGTGCATCAGCAGTCTCTTTGGACAGACTAGGCTTTACATGAAGAGGACTACTGGTCATATATGCACTGTTCAGTTACACCGGTATCTGTTAGCTGATGGCCACCATAACCTGCCTGTTTCCTTGACTTGCAAACGTTTTGAATAAAATGTCCTGTGACATATATTTTCACTTGGCAGACCACGCAGTTTCAGTTTCTACAGGGCGTGCACTTTGATGGTGCCACAGTTTTACAGTCATTATCATTGACCATTTTCTTTTCCCTCACAACAGCATAAATTGGTGTTTTAACCATCAAGAGCTGCATAACTGATAGTACTAAATCACAAGCTGCTCAATAAATTTAAACACAGCAATATTTGCTAATGTGAACTTGTATCTTTTTGTCATCACATGTCCTACCTGCAAAGCATTATTCTGTTCTGTGTTTAAAGCCTCCAGCTCTGTCAGGTCAGGTGAAGGAAATATCTCCCACTTTTATTCCTAGTTCATCTTTTACCAGGACAAAGAGGAATTGTTTCAGGTGACTGCATCTCTTGTCTATTTTGCTGTTTCACACCAACCAGCCACAGATCTGTGTTCTCCTGATTTATACTTGCCTCTTTCCTGTTTTGAAGAGGAATCTAGGTATAAACAATGCTAACATAATCACGTGGTATCATATTAAATTATCAAAATCCACTAACTGATGCCAAATAACACCTTATCTTATATATCTGACAGATAACAAAGGTCACAGTGCTTAGAGAACAACACCAGTTTATCAACCACACTTTGTCACAGTCAGACTGAGAATGTGATCCACGAGCTAGTGTTAGTGAGTGTGCAGACATGCTTTTTATAGTACTAACCATACACTGCCGGGACATTTATGAGAAAAACCTGCTGCAGATGCACTTTTACAATAAAGTCATTAACTTTCAAAACTTTTTTTCTGGTTAAATAAGCTTCGAGTATATTTCTGTAACTCAGGATGTCAGCAGGATGTTGCTGCTGTCCTGCAAGTGAGCACTGCAGCACGATCTTCCTCTGACAGAAAATATGACTGTGGTTGTTGTCCATAAAAAGTATTACTTCATTTTTTGCACCAGAAAAATGTCAAGCAGACCAAGCAGTCACTGCTCATGCTTCCAATCTCTGCTCTTTCCACCCTACTTACTGCATGTATTTAATGTATTCTGACCATCCAGTATGCTGCAAAAAAGTCTAGTTCACTTTGTTTTATGTTGAGGAACAATGGCATTCATAGTTGTGACTATCATCTCCTGTGATGTTTCTGAGCCTGTTTACATTTATGTGGTAGTCTCTGGTTTTTTACTGAAAGGAGGTGTTATGATAACAGACAGATTTCTGACAGAGTTATAATGCTGCAAGTCAAGACAATCACACCGTCTAAGCTTGTGAACACTGAAACAACAGCTTCACTTGACAAGATGAAAAAAAAGAATGCTAAAAACTAACACTTCAACAAACAGAATGCAAGTGAAGAGGAAATGAATAGATTAACAGTCAACGGAGCCTGCCTGCCCCTGCCAGAAGGAGGTTTATGTCAAACTGGCACTGATTGCTGTGACCCATGCATCGAGCTGATACAAATGAAAGACGGGAGAGACGGTACAGGATGAGGAGAAGACATATTGCTAATGATGGAAATGGCTGGGTTCACTGTTTCATTTTGCTAGGCTTGTAAATTCTATCCAGAGACTTGCATCCCTTGACCTTACAGCTGTCAATTAATTAGCCATCTGCTGTGGTCACTGCAGCTTTCTGTGTGCTCGCAACAAATGTAGAGAAAAGGCAAATTCCCAAATCTGAGATGTGAGAAAGAGCAGGAAAACAACATCCTGTTCCTCAGAGGAATGTGGAGGAATCTAAAATCAGTTTGTGTTCAACTAGCCCTTTGCCCCTTTTCTCCGTCTTTGTAGGAGACATACTCATAAAGACTAAGACGTTAAATACATTTGTTAAGTTTGAGTCTATATTCTAGCTTCATGACAAGCCAGCTGAACAGACCACATAAACTTCATAATGTCCTAAAACTAAAACGTTGGGCATGATTTTACTGTATTCTGATAATTTATGGACCAAATAATTTATTGGTTAATTAAGAAAATATTCAGCAGATTAAAATATGATGAAAATAACCATTAGCTGCAGCCCTAATCGATTATGTAGGGAGCAAAAGCATTTTCTGGATCCAATTTATCAAACATGAGAATCACACTTTTGTTTGAAAAACAATTGAAATGATTAATTGATTATCACAATATTTGATTATCTCAATTTGATTTGGGCTCTGGGGAGATTTGATTTGATCACTGGGTCAGACAAAAAAACATAACTGGCAGATTAACTGGAAATGAGAATAATCAGAAGCTGTAACCCTAGACATAAGTAAAGCTGTTCATGCTGCTCACGACCATAGTACGCTTGGTCCCTCCAGCCCGCTGATTGAAGCCAGACAACCCTCCTCTCTGCAGCACCAAACTCAAGCCACCTGTACACCATCTTTGTTAAGAATTTACAGAGATGCCAGTACATCAACCACATTTGGGCCTTTGAGGCAGGGAGAGGTAGCTCCAATAGCACAACATGGGATCTCCCAGTATGGCCTTTTACCCGTGTAACCCACTTGAGGTCATACCCAGCCTGCTCCAACTACATTACTTGACTTAGCACCAGCAGGAGCATGCAGAATTGGACATGCAACAATAACCAAACACTGTTCAGTTCAGTAATTGCAGCCAGCCTCATTCAATCAGCGTGAAAGTGCACAGACAGAGTCGAGTTCACTGATGACCTGCAGCACCCTGATTGGAGAAGCTTGGTGGGGTAGGGGGACCTGTGACGTGGGGCGGGTTGGCGGCAGAGGGGTCGCAAGGGCCAGGTAAACCTTACTGCTGGTGATTTGTTATGAGCTGCTGCTCATCGTCTATTACACATACACTTATCTCCAACTCATTTCTAACTCAGTCCTCTAATGATCATCACAAGCCAATCTCACATGTAAGCAAAGGAATCTGAGAATTAAAAAGAAACATGGACTGTTTACTTTGTTCTCCTTCTTCTTTCTTTCAAACTCAGAGGAGTGGTTCACCCAATTTTGCTGGTACTTTCCCTCATGTTCGAACTACTTGGACATGACCTAGAAGTTAATTCATTACTGCTGTTCTGGAGCTGAAGCTGAGATCACGCCCCATCACCAGAGGGACTCCCCACAGATATCAGTTACTGATGCAGACCCTGACACTGCAGATGCTGCCTCTTAAAGCTGGTGTAGTGTCAATATTGGCTTCACTTTTCACCTTCTAAAAGTTAAAATGCAATTATCACTGATGATTTTGAGAAAGGTTCATTCTTGGTTCTGTTACAGGATCTGACATTATTGTGCATAACGCATGCTGTACAAACTCTGCAGAAACACGGAGAAAATAAATGGCACTGCAGAAATATTTGCACATTCTTGCCCAACATTCAGTTAAGACACCGTGCAGTTATTTGACTGACTTCAATGTCTCTATTATATGAGGCAATGCCAGGCTTCTAAGTCCAAACAGCTGCACATAGAAACAATAAGTGCTCTGCAGTTTGACCAGTCAGAATAAATAACCTCTGGGCAATACCAACGGAAAGTATTGAGGAGCAGCTTACAAGGCTACTGTGGTGCTGCCGCCTTATAATGGGCAACGTTAGTGAGACAACTAATGAATGCTTTTAGTCGCTTGGCGGTCAATTACGCAGACTGCGATGAGTTCCTGCCTGGCGTGTGCGTAAAGATGCGCTGGAGACCTTAACGAGGTATAAAAGACGCTATCTCCGCCTGTCACACATTATTTCATCTAGGAATCAACACAAATGCCTTGTTGCTTTTCTGGTTTTACTCACCAACAACTGCCGCTGCTGTCAATGTGAAATGCTGGTTTATACCGGGCATCCTGACGCACAAAGTGTGTCCCGTAGTTTCAGTTATTCCACTGACTTTTTCCTTGTCACGCTCGGTGAGATCCACAGAGAAGTCAAATCGTTAAATGACTGGCAAGAGTCCACAAGGCATTTCCTGTGCTGCAGCATACACCATTTAATTAACAGCCAGTAGCCCCGTTTCAGACTGAGTCTACCACTCGGGATGAGCTCTGTTCTACAGCGTGTTGCTTCTGCTGGACAGACAGAAACAGGGAGGAGGAGGAGGAGGAGATTGAAGAGGAGGAGAGTTCACTCGTGTACAAGCTGTGTTTTCTGCCAACCCCATGGGAAAGTCTTACCAGCAGCGCAGTGATGCCTGAAGACGAGAATACTGTCAAGCACTGAACATTTAGTCTCACTTCAAGGCAGAGCTCAGTGTGTGACAGCTGAACCTTGACTTGAACTGTTCAAAAGAGACAGCACTGAAGCCTCATAATAATTCCCTAATAACGGTATCAGAACATGTTACTGGGTAAAGGCCCATCACGAATCTTCCCAATTTATGAGGAATTTAATGTGTGACAGTGACATTTTAGCACTTTTCTAGATGGACCATTCCTCTAATCATAAACAGGCATTTGTAGTTCTAACAATTCAAACTGAATAACAACAAAACCCAGAGAAAACTAACCTGGTTTAGAGTGTAACTGTGAGTGAATGAAAGCAAACTCAAGAGCTGTTACAAGAAAGGTAGCTGTTCTGGAAACATCAACGCTGTTGATTTGGTAGCTGATAGAATTAGTAAAGTTATGCCCTTTGGCACTCAACTCTTCATGTAATATATTTCTCAGGCATCCACACTTATATACCAGCTGTGGCTTTATGTTGAAAGATTTACAGCCATAATGTGTAAAGAGGTCTGAAGTCACCATCTGTGTTAAACTGTATGTATGATTTATTTTGCAGCTCCTGGAAGATGTTTTTCATCTGCTGAATAACAAACCCTCATTTCAGATGAATCAATCAAACCAAAATGTCCAAACCAATTATCATAGTGCATAGGGTATCTCATGTACAACTGAAAAAGAAGATATGAATCGCTTATGTTTTTGACCTTGAGCAATGTGACAGGACCTTTATCAATAAAGAGCAAATGTAAGTTTTGTTACACTGGAGTAATATTATGAGTTCATGTGTTATGTCTCAAAATCTCAAGTCTGAACAGTTCTTATTAATTCAGTCACTGTCATCTTAACATGACTCCATAATAAACATTATTTTATTGATGCAGGCAAAACTGCATGATTCATTTGCCATGTCCAGAGGTTCGGGCTTGTTCTGGTGTGAGTTAGTGGCTCAGTTCATGAAACCATGTCATACTGTCAAACTGAAAAGAACATTCAGATTTTGAGGAGTTGTTCAGCTGCAGATCAGTTCCTGTGGTGGAATGAAGAAGCCACTCAGGCCCTAATTCAGCCCCCATTTAAAGTAAAGTGCTACAACTACTACACAGTGTGCCTCGTATAACTACACATACACAGAATATATAGCAAAAAGTGGGTTTACTTTACACAGCGTATACAAACAGAACACATGCTCACATCAAAGACACACAGAGAGGCATATCGGTATCAGACCGGCTCTCAGGAACTGCCAGTGAATGACACAGTTTACAGGACTCCATCCTGTCTTCAGCCCTGCAGATATCACTGCCTGAGACTCAGGAAGACTGATTAGTTCCAGTGCGTTTCCTCATCCTCTGACACACTTTGGTCCACTCAGACGCCTTTCCCCTCCTAGCAACAAAGCATAGAGCATAGTAAAATGGCATGTATGTTTTCATTTTTGACTCCTACACAGTCTCCTCCCTTTCCTCTGTTGCCTGCTTTCATACTGATATACTATATGCCTTTAGTTGCCATGGAAGTCTGTTGTCTGATGCAGGCAGAAAGAGAACATTAGCAATGTACAAAATACAAGGCTCTCAGGGCCCCTAATAAATCAAAGACATCTTCATTCAATTTCATAAATACTTTCTTTGAATCAAATACTATAAAAGACATCTTTACTTTGCCTGAACTGCTTTTTGTGATGTAAGGCTCCTCAAAGGTAATGAAGACAAACTGTTTATCCCGGAGACAGTAAACTCCTTTAAGTGAATGAAATTAATTCAGTTTATTAGTCTGACAGAAAATATTTATTTACTGAATTAGTCAATCATTGGGTCATGCAAAAAAGCTCAGCAACAGACTCTCTTTCCCCTGCATGGAAAGCTATTTGCAGTGATCATCTAAGGAATCTGTAATGTATACAAGAGGGTAGTGTTTGTGTGAAAAGGTAGATGACAGCCCACATTAAACATACACTAAAAATGGTACTGGCAACTGTACATACTGATTAAATATCTGGAAAGTTGAGTTTATATTTAACTAAAATGATATTTGTCTACATTCCACAAATGAACCCTTAGCGATTGTTTTCCATAAAGATGTGGGACTTACAAGAGACTTACAGCTGCACTAATTTATATTATGATGTTAACAATGGATCTAATGGTTTACACTGCGCATAGTGATGAAAACAGAGCACTGTCACTCAGTTCTGCAGTTCTCCTCAGCATTTAGCCTCTCCCAGTTTATCCTTTGGTTTTAAAACCTGCAGTTTCACTGTTTTGGTTCACTCTCACTGCTGTCATCAACTTTGCTGCTCTGAACAAAAATGCTCTGATAAATCCACAGTGCACTACCTGCTCAGCACCAAACCACAGATAGACAAAGTTAGTGGCCAGCTGTAGAACACAGTGGAGCATTTAGCAGCTAAAGAGCCCGGTATTTCTCTCAGGAAAGAAGAGTGACTTGTATTTAACAGGTGGACAGAATTACAGTATGTACTGTAAATGAGAAGCTGTGGAGGTAAAGACCACCAATAAAAGGTGGCTATGCTTTGTTTACATCTTGCTGTGCCGCCCCCAAGTGGCCAAGAAAATCAATTAATGCAGCTTTAATAAAACAGACTGGGCAAAATTTAAGCTGCAGCAGCTGAGATATCCAGACTTTTAGTGCATAAGCTCCAAAACCTCTGCATCCCACATTTCAGTGCAAACAATAAACTTTCCACTAGACCCTTCATGTATCTATGCCTTTCATACTCTGACACAGGTTTTCTATTATAAATTTGAAGTTTCCCAGCTGAGATGACTGTGACTACATCCTGAATATCTTCAGTAAATTTACCCCAGAGCTACAGTCCCCTTTAAACAGCCTTCAAGAGCAAAATTAATGTTGGTTGGTGACAGTTTAGTCATCACCTCAGATAATTTGCTTATATAAATATATAACGTGTGACTGTCACAGTGCTTGCAGCCTGACCAGCTGTAGAAATGTAGAGATATTAGAAGAGACTAAGGTTCATGATGCTTTCTAGCTTGTCTCTGCAGTCAGGAACTGAGTGGACTAATACAGAGGCTCATTGCTATAAATGGACATTCTAGCTATATATTGCAGAGTTTGACTTCTGTCTTTTGTTTTTGCTTTTTAAACTTCAACTAACACTGAAGGCAGCGAATGCATATGTGGTTTATTCGTGGTTATGCCACACATGCAGCTCCTTTGGTGGTGGCAGCACGTGCGTTTGCTTGCATGTACGACTACCACAGCGGACAAACTTCAGGGAAAAGTCCCTTCTCAGCTCAGTGTGACAGAAAGCAGATCTATCCTCACCGATTCCTGTTTAATGAGAAAAGCTTCTGACTATATTTAACACTGACTAGAACAAGGTGACCAAATGGAAATATGTTTGATCCTCAGTCTTTCTTCTTGTTGTGTTTACTATTCTCTCTTTTATTTATTCTTTATACCAAAAAATGTGCCTATAACAAATGCTTGGGCAGCCATCAACAAACGGGCACTGGCTCGTAATAAAAAACAGATGGAAATCAATGCGATTAGTGGATCTGTGCTTTATTTCCTGGGTGTTAGACATCGACTTGTCTGAGCACATTAGGGCCCATGGTACACTATATTCAAATTGTGATAAAACTTTACTTTCCAGACAAAAAGGCCACAGCCTTGAGGTGTTTTTATGCCTATTACTGTATACACACACACACACACACACACACACACACACCTAAAACCATCAATATTTGGAATTGACAGAAATACATTTAGATTATTTTTTCATTTAAAAGACTAAGTATAGTCAAGTAAAAGATGTTTTCCCTTCTTAATTCCCAATCCAGCCTTTGGGGCTTCAGTGAGAGCAACACGCCATCTTCAAAGTAATGCAATCTGACACATGTGGGCATCAATCAGAGGTCTCTTCAGTCTCTTGCTTCCTGGGGCTCTGTGTTTCTGATAGGATCTGGAGCATCATGTCCCTCTACAGAGGGCCAGCACGGGGTCTCAACCCTTTGACTCCGTCAACAGTGAGTTAGCATGTCGGTTATAGCCTGGCCACCGGCTCTGTCTCCCACAAACACAGCAGCAGTGAATCCTTTATCTCTGCTAAGTATAGTCATGCATAACATTTGACTCCTCACGCCATGTAATATACATTAAATTAGATTTCTACATGCACGCCTGCCTTTAAGATTAAACTTACGATTGACACATAATGAATGAATATATTCCTACCAGCCAAACATGTACTCAAGCAGAGAACTCCTGATCCACAGCTGTTTATTTGAAATGTTTTCGGCCATGCTATGGAGTTGGTAGACTTGGATTCAGATTGAAATATTACAACTACTAATGTGTAATTACAAAGAAAGTTTGTACAGACATTTGTGCTTCCCAGATGGTGTAGCCTAATGAATTTGGCAATCCCCTAATTTTTCCACCAGCACCACCATGGATTGTCGTGGTTTTGAGTGAATTGTCTTAACACCTAATGGATGCACTACTGTGAACTTTGGTAATGATGTTTATGTCTCATTGAGAATGAACTGTAATAACTTTGGTTTCATTTGTCGGATACTTTTATTATTGACCAAACACCTAAAGGAATTAATGACAGTCCCATCAGCCTCAGCTGTACTCTGGGATGTTAGCATTTGGCTCAAATCAGGGCTGTACTGGAGTCCTGTATCCTGTGTCTCTGACAAGACTGAGCAGCATTGTTGTGGAAGTAGTGTCAACTGTTCAAAGACATTACGTGTCTGGGTTTTGCCTCGTATGACTATGACTGCCTAACAAAGACAGGAACGTGATTTCCGCCAGTTTATCCCTAGACCGTGGTGTCAGTATATAGG